AAGAAAATCGGTCGGAAGTTTCTGACATTTTTCATGGAGGGTTTTAGTTATAAAATTCTACAACGAAAGATGAATTATAAAACAAACCTCAAATAAAAATTCGAAGAAAAAAGCTTTTAATTTTAGTTTTGTTAATAACATTTACCGTCCGTCTAAAACAGTATGACAGAAGATGACAATCATTAACGAAATTAAAGTTGAAGGTTTATAATATTAAAAATTTAATTGAGAGATTTTTCCTGATTCAAAAATACTTGACAGTTTTTATCACTAAACTACTAAATATTATAAAACATTTATTATCGCGTATGCATTGTTTAAAATTTTTATAAACAAATCTAGCAACTTTTAAAACTAATTTAAAATTATTTTTACTTTCTGTTTTGTTTCTGTAGTGTAGTGTCACGAATAACCATATACTAGGATAAGACCTGCGCCTTGCGCAGGGTGAATATACGTAATTAAAATATAAAATTTTAATATTGATAAATTTAAAATTTACATACAATTTCTTTTATATGTATTTGAAATTTTAGAACTCTGAAATTTTTAAATAATTATCTATACGTAGGATCATAAACAATTGTAATTAGAACTGTAGATCAAATCTTAGAATTTAATAGACCCGATTTCATATATCTTTTCACTTTTTAGTGTTCCAGTGATGAAAAATAAACATAGTGTCATTGGGCTTGATTGGTAGAGTATTAGCAAATTTACTAATGTTTTTTTTTATAAAGCAGTTGGTCAAAAATTGCATTTAAAATATATAAAGTTTCAAAAATAATTTAATTAATTAATTTATTTGTATAATAATATTAGAAAACTATATATTTTACAAATTATTATTTTCTAAATAATTTTATAGAAAATTAAGTTACATTTTAAATTATTTTTAAAAACAATATTTTAAGTTTTTCAAAATACAAATAAAGAATTTAAAATTAACTATGGTCATGATTTAACATAACCATAATGATTTAAAAAATTAAAAAAATAAAAAAATTAACAAATTAAAAATTAACTCAGTTTTATATCATGATTTAACAATTTAAAAATTAATTATGGTTATGAGAAGTTTACGTTCACGTGTTAATCCTATTTATCTTCAATTTTTTTCTCTTGTTGTGTTTTTTTTTATATTTTGGTTATTACTCGATATAAATATTGATTTTGAAGTTTATTCTCATTTCGTTTATTTGTTTTTACCTGAGATTTAGAAAATACTTAAAATTTAAAATAATTAAAAAGATACATACTTAGGTTAAGATCTGCACTTTATGCACAATAAGTATTTTATATTTATAACTTATTTTATAATATTCTGCATATCATAAAATAATAAAATAATAAATATATATATTACATAACTAAGAAATCAGTCACTATTATTTAATAAATTGACGTATGCATATAAATTTAACTATCACTCTTGTTTATTCGCAATTAGCGTAAATAAATCAAAATAATCAATCTTATATATTGTATATGATATATAATTAAATTTCAATGATATAAACATAGTAATATGGCACACTTTTAATATTTATATTTATTAAATGAGGTTTCTACTCATATGATTTTATGATTATTTACATATTTGTGTAATAAAACTTTATTTTTTTTAATGTGAGATGTTTAGTAGTTTCAATAATTTATAATAATTTTAAAAAAACAATGACATATTTCAAAATTAAAATATTAACTTCTCAATATATGTTGAAGACAAATATCAAAATATAAGTATGTATTTTCATAGGATTTATAGTTTAATTAAAACGATATGAAATATAGATATATAAACTAAAATTATTTATTCATATGGTGTTATAATCATTATATTTTAATATAGAAAAAAATTTAAAACCTTGATCATAAAAGTTTATGTGAGACTTTTAACAGTTTTAGTAATTTATACTCATTTTGAAAAATTCGAAATACAACATACACAAAAAACAATCTAGATTTTTATTATATGATTAATGTGATTGTGTAATTTATTTTAATAATCATTTATGTGAAATTATAATAGAATTTTTAAATTCTACTTTTAAAAGTATAAAATTTCAATTAATATTTTATAATATAGAAATCAGTACTATAAGCTAGATTTAATAGTAAATAATTAAAATTTTATGTAATAATATTAAATTTATCAAACATTAAACTAAGAATTTTATTTTATAAATAGTTAACTTGTATTATTAACAAATAAAAATATTAAATAAATATATTATTTTGTTATTTAATTTTCATTGTTAATAATTTCTAATTTTGAATATAACTAATATTTTATATAGAGTAAATACATATAGATAATATAGGTAAACCAAAAATATAAATGTATATAAATTTTATAAACATAAAACTACAAAGTTTAAACATAATATATAATGCGATAGAATGATTATTTATCAATTACAAATAATTAAAACTGAAAATTAAATAATATATAATATTAGTTTTGTCGTAGAATGTGGTGATATTATTACAGATAACAAAAAAAATATTTGACACAAAAACACTAAATTTGGTATAATTTAACACCAAATTTGGTGTAATTTTAATACCAAATTTGATGTTATTGTTGGAGATGACTTTAGCCATTATTAAATTGTGCACCCACTAAAAAAATCTTCTAGATTCGCTAGTTGTGATGGTTTTATTTATCTTTAATCTAGGAATAAGGATAGGGCTGGAAAATCGGGATCACAATCGGGTTTTGGTTTGGGTTCATTCAGTTTCGGGTTTTCGGATTTAAAAATTTCAGCCCTACTCAGATGTTAAAAAAATTTGGGCCGGATTCGGGTTATCTCGGGTTCAGTTCGGGTTTAGTAACATGTCCAAGATCCAATTGAAGCCAAAATAGTTTCGATTTTGGATACTAATCGGGTTATCGGTACTAAAAATACCAATTTATACTCGGTTAAATTCAATATATTTTCAATCGTTTAAGAAAATTTTTTATTTAGCTTCTTCAGACTATATTATTGTCCTTCAAAATAATATTGTGAAACTCATCTATTAACTATGTAAGATTTATTTTTGAAATATATGTGACAAAAATAAGCATATCATGATTAATGACAAACCAAAATCTTTTATGAACGGAAATCATACATAACTATAGATAAAAAAAATTAAAGTTTACAATTTAGAATTCTAGAAACGTAAAAAATACTAATTAAATTTAAAAACAACAACATTGTTTAAACTTCAAAACAAATTTATTCTTAACTAAACTTCAAATATAATGTCAAACATAAACATTAATATTAACTAAATAAAACTATATATTAGACTAAGTATTTGAGTTAATTATGCATATAATAACTAATTACTATAGATATTCAATAATATCTTAATGTATTTTAGAAACATATTAGAATTTTAGATTGGATAGGGTACAAATTTTTTTTAAAATTTTAAAGTTTCGGGTTCTTTTGGATATCCATTTAAGTTCGGAATTGGTTCGGATAAAGCCCATAACCTGAAATACCGTAAAACAAGATCCACTCGATACTTATGTCGGGTTTGGATCGGTTCAGGTTCCTTTTTAGAGGATCAAGCTCGGTTCGGATTTTCGGATTCGGTTTTTTTTTTGGCCCAGTCCTAAATAAGGATATGAAAAAAAGAGAAGCAAAATTTTCACGTCGGACTATAGAGATTTTTTCTTTTTTGGGAACAACGAAGGGGTTGATTGGTAGAGCATTAGCATAAGCATTATGCTCTCTATTATCCAATCAACATTTGGCAAATAAGCATTTAGAAAAGCATTTACCAAATGCAAATGCTCTCCAAATGCTCTTTGCTCAATGCTCTCATATAGAGCTTTTGGGAGAGCATTTGCATATAGAAAATATAAAACTTAATAATATTTATATATAATTAATTTATTTTGTTTAAAAATATAAACAATATTTTTATAATTAAATATAAATTTATATTTAAAAAAAATAAAAATAAAAATAAAAATTATAATTAATTATTTTTAAAAGAACAATATTTCACATTTAAAATATAATATAATTTATATAATTACATATATCATTCATTATTTTTAATAAAAAACATAACATAATATAATTTATATATTATCGATATAAAAATATTATTTAGACACTAATAAGTAAATTATATATTAACTTTTATGATAATTTTATATATGAGTAATTTAGTGCTCTGCCAATAAATAAATAATAATAATTTATAAATAAATTATAATTAATTTATTTATTTATTGAATAATAATTATAATTTAATAATAATTAATTAAATTATAACTATAATTTTATATATGAGGAATATGTTATATCCAAAAAAAAATTAATATTTTAAAAAAAATTAATTTTTAAATATATTTTACATAATGAAAATTAATTATTTTAATAAAATTATATATTATTAATATATATTATATATATTATTTTAAAAGAAATATATTATTTTACTAACTATTATGACAATTTTAAAATTGTATACTGCTAATGCTCTGCCAATCACTTTATTGAAAAATTTAATGAAAGCATACAGCTTCTGTAGCATACTGCTTCTGCAGCATACTGCTACTGCTTTATCATCTGCTGTACCAATCGAGGCCGAAGTCGGCGTACAGAGATATACATAATTGCTAACATTTGTTTATTCGGTTTTTTCCAATATACACCTAAGAAGGATCTAGAGGTGTAAAGAAAAAAGGAGTATAACCCAACCAGAACTTATTGCTAATGTTTTGTCAAAAAAATAACTTATTGCTAATGCGTAATAGTTATTAGTTCATATAATTCAAAAAAAAAAAGTGCCATATTGTATGAAAACGCGTGACAGAATTTTATTTTCATTCTTTATCTAATTCATTAGGATACTTTTGTTCAGTTTCTCTGTTTTTTCATGGAGGTGTAGGTATCTTTTTACTGAATGCATGTTTCTCCACAATTATAGAAATAAATAAAAACACACACTATTTGGAAAATAAACTAAAGAGCAAAAACGAGTGAGAAAAAAAAACATTAATAAGCTAAGCTCAAACAGAAAAATAAGAATTATTAGTGATGGGGGTGGGGTCTGAAGGAGTCATGTAGCCACTTGATGAGGCGGTCGAAAGGTGACAACTGCATGTTCTTCGGAACACTTCTGGATAGTGGTCGCACCACAACTCGAAGCTTAAGCCCAGCCTCACAATGACCAATCTTTGATGTAATAAAAAAGCGTATTCCTGGTTTTGTTAGCCTAATGAGATCTTGTCCTCCATTGTGCACGGCAACAGGAGAAGTAGTGTCGCAAGATTTGAACTCAAGATCACTGTTGATTTCTAGGACGTCATCGACTTGGTCGTTGTAGTAGAAAAGAAGATTGTCTCCCACATGAAACTGCTTCTCCTCACTCCACTTGGAATAGAAGTCACTCTCTTCAGGAACCTTCCATTCGTTGGAGTCACCAACCTTGTAATCTTTTCCGAATGGAAGGATCTTTCTCGGTGGTGGAGGAGGAGGAATCGTCGGATGGTCATGGACGACAAAAACGACGAGTTTCTGTCCGGCTACGCATTGAGAATGATTTGTGGTGATGAAGAAGTGATAACCTGGTTCCGTGAGAGTCACGACATCGTGTCCTGTGTTGTAAACAGCTTTAGGAGAATGAGAGTTGCAGAATTGGTATTCCAAACGACTGGAAACTTGAGTGACGTCGTTGGCGTTGCCATCGTATTCGAACATCAGAGAATCTCCCACTTGGAATTCCTTACGCTTAGTCCATTCATAATAGGTACCGCCCTTCTTCGCTCTCCATCCCTCCGAGTCTCCCACTTTGTAGATTTTTGCCGAGCAACAACTTCCCATTAGAATCATCACGAGCACGAAGCAGAACATTCTTGTTGTCGCCATAGTAATTATTAGAAACCAGCAGAGAACGTTGATGAGTATGTTGAGTATGAGAAACCAAGACCACCCTAACTCTCTTTTTATAACCCCTTTTATGGAACCTAATCCTTGCCGCTTACGGAATTTAGTATAATCCCCTTTGGGATATATATGTTTTCTTTTTCCTTNTAGACTAAAAAAAACAAATGCTACAATATGTAGGAATAAATAAGGGCGTTAGATTTGTGTTAAATAAAAATCTATTGTTAAGATATTATAAAGTAAATACAAAAATACATTAGTTAACTTCTAAGAAATCTTAGACCATAGAGTAAGATTCGGTGGATGATGAAGTTGCAGAGATTAGAGTTGATAATTTTAAGAGTCATCAATGAAGTATGCAAGAGTGTATGAGCGATGCTTATATTCCCAAGTACCAAGCTTTTGTGCAGACGCTGCAGCAATCAAGAGGGTTTGGAACTGAGTTTAGGTTTGACGCAACTGCGCCTGCTGGACCCTGCACTGCTGTTGCGAACACCTACCCCTTTGCCACTTGTGCAGCTGCTGTCGATGAGGATGATCTCTACAGTAGAATATGATTCCTCAAAGTTAAGTCTCAAGTTGCCAACTTCTGAATGAGTGGTGTCGAGAGCGATACAGAAAATTCCTTCAGATTTGTTATCATTTCTGACATTTAGATTGATTTGATTTATTCCAATGTTATTTCACTCACATAGTCACTATACTTTTATGAGTTTTTTTTTTCTTTAATGTCGTCTTCGTTTTTGTATTNATATGATTCCTCAAAGTTAAGTCTCAAGTTGCCAACTTCTGAATGAGTGGTGTCGAGAGCGATACAGAAAATTCCTTCAGATTTGTTATCATTTCTGACATTTAGATTGATTTGATTTATTCCAATGTTATTTCACTCACATAGTCACTATACTTTTATGAGTTTTTTTTTTCTTTAATGTCGTCTTCGTTTTTGTATTCAGACGCTGTATTTGAATGCAAATATTTAAATATTGTTCATTTGTACACTATTGCATCAAGATGCAGCATCTGATATATATTAGAGAATGGATGATCAAACTACCAATATGCTCTCTGGATTATGTGTATAGGGAAAATAATCATGCTGCTGACTGTTTAGCAAAAAAGGCTTGGAATCAGAGTGTTTTTCATTCTTTTGTCATACCGTCAAAATGGCTAACATAATTAGAGCTGGACATAAATGCTTGATACTCGGTTTATACTCGTTACTTAACTCGGTTTGGTTTAAAAAAATAAGTACTTGCTATAGTCAAGTCGAATAACAAATAATCGGATTTTATTACTCGCAAGTACAAGTCAAATATCAAGTTCATTTTTATTTTTAACTACTTAGCTTATTACTTAGTTTGTTATTTGATATCTTCTACTTATCCCATTATTTATTACTCCCTCCGTTTCAAAATATATGTCATTCTAGGCTTATTGTTTTTGTCACAAATTAAGTGTCCTTTTAAAGTTTCGAGGCAAAATTTATTAGTTTTATATAATATTCTATTTTTTATTGGTTGAAAAGTGGTACTTAGGTGTATAAGTAATTGTGTTTTTATCTTGGAAATATGTAAAACTAAATATTTTCTTAATCTGTGTACAAAAACTTAGAATGACAAATAAAGTGAAACGGAGAGAGTATATATTACTTGGTTTATTAAATATTTGATATCCTTTTTATTAGTTAATTAAAATTTATGTATTACATTTTATTAGTAACCGTACAAAATTATTCGCTGCTAGCTTCCTCTTTGTTATTTCATAGGTACATGATCTTTAAAGATGAGTATTTGTTCACAGAATTAAGTATCAAATAATCTATGTAAATTACTTATAATTATAAAACAAATATCATATAATAAAATAAAATTAATTACTTGACTTTGTTTTTTTTAATGAACTAAAATACATTTTCCTAAATCATAGTAAAATAACTTGTTTATATCTTCACTTTCGTTAGTGCATCAACATAAGTTTTAAATTTATATAAACATCCTTAAAATTTTCTATTCTTTATATAATCTATTTTTTGAATTGACTAAAATATAAAAAAGAAACATCAAATAATTTACTATTAAGTTCTAATGAATCATCAAATAATTTACCAATACTTATCAGTTAAATTGTAAGTAATTTACAAGTAACAAGTAATAAAAAACAAATAACATGCAAGTTCGATAATTTTTTGCAAATACTTGAAACTGGAAGTACTCGTTTTTTAACAAACCAAGTACAAGTCAAAAAATTTACTACTCGTACAAGCCAAACCGAGTACTAAGTATACCAAAAATACAAAATACTTATGTCCATCCCTAACCATAATATTTGTATTTTCCATTTAAAAAAGTCAACCTTATGAACTGAACGAAAGCACTAACTCCAGAGCCCTATTCTTTGGGTTAAAGAGTATCCTATCTTTGGAATTCATATTGATCCTGCGGTATGAGAAAGCAGAACAGCTACAACTTTCTAACACCGGGAAACATAAGTTACAACTAGTACTACAATCTAATAAATAAGTTGTCAAGAAAAAACTATTTAGTTAGTTCAATGAAATAACTTGCGTAAGTTACAATTAACTTGCGTCTTAAGAAAGCAATGAGCAAAGAGGCTTCATATTAAAGCATTTCTCCGTCACGTAGCTACGAATCCAAGGAGGGAAAAACAGCCATCAAGTAGTCACAACCTCAAAACCCACCGTTAGTAGCCGTGATAACATCTGTCTCACCACCCACCTCTGTGCAAACGCAATCTTTTTCACTGCCACTTCCACAACTGATACATTCCTTTTAGTTATCAAAAAGGAATTTATATAAAATACAGTATCTATAAATATTTTCGTTTTTAATAATAAAATTATTTAAAGGAATTTGTATAAAAAGGAAATATTTTTACTATTAGAATAAAATATTTTATATATTTGACACATGTGATTTAATAAAAAAAAATATTTTCCTTGTATATAAATTCTAGTTTTATATTTTTTATCTTTATATTTTTAAAAAACTTAGGATATTAAAAATAAAACATCTTCTTTCTTAATAAAAATAAACTATATGATTATACCTTTTGATAATTGTACAGCTTTTTATTTCGACAAAAACTATAAGCACAACTTTATGCAATTTTCTCTTTTCATATTATAGATTTTTAGTCTTAATACTATTTGAATGCCTCCAAAATCTCTATACATAAACATTTGATGCTCCTCAATCTAAATTATTAAAAAATCGACATAAATATAAATTATAAATCATCATTCATCGTTCATAGAAATTTTTTCTTATTCATAAAACAATTTTTTTTCTATTGTAAGAAAACTATTTACATGGCTTATATCAGAAAATTCATTGTTTAAATATATTGAAAAATCAAAATAAACATAATGATATTTTAAAATAAATCTCTTAAAGAAGTTGTTTTTATTGAGATGGGTTTCATGGACGATGAGAAAAAAATCATATTTTTCTAATTTCTGCTAATCCTACAATTATAAAAAAAATCAAAATTGGAGAACAAATAAAACGTATTCATGCAACAATTAAAGGCAATGCCTTGGTTAAAAAGTTCAAGAAAACTGAAAAGGTGAATTAAAAATAATTAACACATTTAAAATCAACTTTTATATTGGTGATTTTATAATTTTAGAAATAAATATCATGACCAAGTTGAATATATTGCACAATAAATTATAATACAGCAACTAAACAACTTATAGAAATTTAAATATGATAACATATAAAATACACAAAAATATAACTAAAACTAATAAAATATCCTTAAAATATTATATTTTAGTACCGTAAAAATATTCATGTTCGCGCATGGAAGCGGGTGAGTCATCTAGTATTATATGAAACGCGTGACAGAATTTTATTTTCATTCTTTGTCTAATTCATTAGGATATTTTTGTTATCAGTTTCTTTGTTTTTCAATGAAGGTGGGGCTATTTTTTTACTGAATGCAAGTTTCTCCACAATGATAGAAATAACTTGAAAACACAGTATTTGGAAAATAAACTTAAAGAACAAAAACGAGTGAGAGAAAAACACTAATAAGTAATAAGCTAAGCACAAAAAAAACAAATAAAAACGAATTATTAGTGATGGGGGAGGGGTCTGAAGGAGTCATGTAGCCACTTGATGAGGCGGTCGAAAGGTGACAATTGCATCTTCTTCGGAACACTTCTGGATAGTGGTCGCACCACAACTCGAAGCTTAAGCCCAGCCTCACAATGACCAATCCTTGAGGTAATAAAATAGCGGATTCCTGGTTTTGTTAGGCTAATGAGATCTTGTCCCCCATTGTGCACGGCAACAGGAGAAGTAGTGTCGCAAGATTTGAACTCAAGATCACTGCTGATTTCTAGGACATCATCGACTTGGTCGTTGTAGTAGAAAAGAAGATTGTCTCCCACGTGAAACTGTTTCTCCTCACTCCACTTGGAATAGAAGTCACTCTCTTCAGGAACCTTCCATTCGTTGGAGTCACCAACCTTGTAATCTTTTCCAAATGGAAGGATCTTTCTCGGTGGGGGAGGAATCGTCGGATGGTCATGGACGACAAAAACGACGAGTTTCTGTCCGGCTACGCATTGAGAATGATTTGAGGTGATGAAGAAGTGATAACCTGGTTCCGTGAGAGTCACGACATCGTGCCCTTTGTTGTAAACAGCTTTAGGAGAATGAGAGTTGCAGAATTGGTATTCCAAACGACTGGAAACTTGAGTGACGTCGTTGGCGTTGCCATCGTATTCGAACATCAGAGAATCTCCCACTTGGAATTCCTTACGCTTAGTCCATTCATAATAGGTACCTCCCTTCTTCGCTCTCCATCCTTCCGAGTCTCCCACTTTGTAGATTTTCGCCGAGCAACAACATCCCATTAGAATCATCACGAGCAATAAGCAGAGCATTCTTGTTGTCGCCATAGTAATAATTAGAAATCAGCAGAGAACGTTGATGAGTTTGTGATTGTGAGAA